GAGAAGCATTTAAACTCAAGGATTTAACTTAATTGAAAGGATTTAAACTCATTTATTAATTTGGGGAAAATATTAAAACATAACTACTACAAGTGAAACGTCCCAATCTTCTCTCAGCATTTTTTCCATTGTAGGGTTTTAGTACTACAGGTACTGCAGCACTGAATACGTAGCCTGAGAAGTACTTATGTGGTCTTCATTTCTGGTAGAAAATGAACTAAACACTTTTTGACCTTTCCTTTTTGGTGATTCCAATGTATTAAGAACAGTGTAATATAGGGCAACGCAATTTTGTGATTCCAACCACACCATTTACAGAGTTGCAAATATTTCATTTTCTCTGATCATGGTCACTAGAATCACATTAAAATTCTTAAGCTCTAATAGCCACAGATTCCAAATTACAAGAATGCAGATGATTTATCCTCCTGCTCAGAATTCTGATGTGAAGTATTTAATCATTGAAAAGGCAACATTTTCAGCAGGCTTGAAGTCAACAGGTAGATTGTATACAGAGATAATAATGTCACTAAGAGGATTAATATAATTAAAGACTAATTTGTCACACTCGTTTCATCCAAACCACTTCCATTTTTGATTTTCAGGTTTTCATTTCACTAATGAGCAAATAACTCATAATTTACTTTTCTAATAATAAATGTCCAAATCATTTTTGCCAGTAAATTGAACTTCACTGGTGTACTTATCAATGAATAATATTTTACACTATTTTCTTCTACTAAAAGCTTTTAAGGCCTTAAAGCCATACTTATTAAACATGGTTATAAGTAGTACGTAATACGTTTACTGTTCTAAATACCCAAGTACATTTATGACATTATTTTAATACACACTAAACCATTTTGACCTCTATTATCTGGTCCTACACCAGAACACTAAGGCTAATTTTTAAATTCACTGCTTATTTTGCATATGATGCACCCCAATGCACTTAGTTCAAGAGTCATACATTCTAAAGGAACTCAATTTACCAATTCATAAGCAAAGTTGCTTAGGTTAGTATTTTTGCAGAGACATGTTAGGAAAAAACCAATAATTGACAAAAAAAATCTTACTTCCAGAAAAATTTTTAGTGCTTCTGTCCTTGGTGATATAAAAAGAAACTAAAACAGATTTCAAAATGTATACCAGTGAGGCTTTGTTTCCAACCTTACCTAAGCTGTTTACAATAAACGTAAGTTGGCATACTTTAAATAATTGAGGACAATGAACAGTGTTTACATGCAATTTCTAGATTCTATACTACACTGAAGCATAGCTGGATAAGTAAATTCAAACCTTATCAGCTTGTGAAGAAATGGACCTATTAAACTTTAATAGAAAAAAAAAATTGAGACCTGTTTGGTAACTGGCTGTCATGATACAACTTCAGGAAAAAACTCCTGCAATCAAATATTTTCCAGTAAAGAATAAGCATTCATTAGTAGCATTGGATGAAAACAAATTACTAAAACCTTGTAAGAAACATGACAGATATTGACACCCTTGCCAAACACCAAGTGCTTGCTGTGAGAGAACACTGAAAGGGCCAGAAATACTGGGTAAGGCCTTTCAAGAAATTCACCTAATTCCTATGGAAACTCAGGAACCAGGGACGGCATCCTAGTGTTCTGAATTGTCATGAAGGCCAAGTGAAAAAGGGATGGTAATGAGGAGTGTGCAGGGCATTTCAGGCATAGGAAGCCTGTACGTGGATGAAAATCTATCACAAGTAGTTCAGCATGGCTCATGTGGCTAGCTATATAGGCTATGTGCCCAAGCTTGCTGGAATTGACAGGGCTGGGGGAAGGGACGGTGACACAAAGGATTTCAGTTTAATCCTGAAACCCATAGGAAAGATGTTAAGCAAGGAAATTACATGAACAGAAACTGCTTGTTAATAAGACCACTCTGGTATGAGTAATGAAAGGATCACTGCTTGGTTAAATAGCATTTAGCAAATACTGTGGAAAACCTACTATATATGCCAGACAGGACTGGAGGCCAAATGACCATTTAGGAGGCAACTGTAGTTATCTTAGCCCATAAACCAAAGCAGTGATAGTAGTAATGGAGCAGTGCAGGCTTGAGGGTTAAGAACTATCGATTCTGGAGTAAATCAGATTTATTTGGTATGGAGTTGGGAGGCAAAAGAGAAATCTAAGAGGATCCCCAAAGTCACTGATAATGGTGTTTATCGATGTGAAATACACTAGTTTTGATGGAGAGATTGCATGGGGAGAATTTAGGTATGGTGGAATTGTTTGATATTTAAAAGGAGATACACAGTAGGCAGTGAGAGAAATGGATCTGGTGCTGTAGAAAGGAGTAAGTAGGAAATAAACATTTGAGTATTAGTATATATGAAATAACTGAAAACATTAAGTAGGGAGTGAAATTAATAGCCAATATTTGCTGTATACTTGTGTGCAAGGCATAACGATGTCCAAGGTCATACAGGTACCATGATGTAAAAATTCAAATCTGGTTCTTTGACTCCAGGGGAGTCAAAGAAATTAAAGCTCACCTTATTCATCAATAAACTTGTCCTTCAAGACTGCTCAAGTCAATTCCTTAAGAGTTTGCCTCTTCATTCAGACAAGACTGATTTTTTTTCCCACTTTAGCAGACTTCATTTCTACCATGAAGTATTTTTATAAGAGCACTCCCCCATTTTTATAAGAGCACTCCCCCACAAGGGGTTGTCGTATATATATTTTAGCTTCAAACCCCAGGTCTTCTTTTTCTCTTGGATAATGCTGTATAGCATTCTTCATCTTAGATACACTTTAATCATTCATTTATGTATTTAGGAATTTACCAGTTATTGTAAATATTTTTCTTATGCTAGTACCTTTTATTTTGCTAAATACAGGCATTTGGGAACTATGAGTTATCACACGTTCATCTTTTATCTGTGTGCAATGCTTCAACACCCTCTACCCTCCTGTAAGTATCCATGTGGTTCAATGTGGCTGGGGAAATAAAAACAACTGTGTTTACTGGTCACTCTCAGTGACTATAAACTTGGCTCTAATGCTACCTGGATTCATCCTTCCTGATACTATAAGGTCAAAGCTATCATTACTACCACCACCACAGGTCTAGATTCTATTCCCTCACCTACTTGATGATAAACCTCCCTCTTCAACAATTCTTCCTTTCCTTCCTTCCATTCTATTGGAGAATGGAGGCATGTCAAAGGACTCTCAATGGCCAAAGCTGGGAACAGTTTGAGCAATAAAACAACATAGCATTGAACTTTCACTTAAAGGATAAATATGTGGAAGTCCATACAGATGTAAATAAATAGGAGACAAATCTTTGTAACAGAGGAATTACAAATATGAGTAGACAGCCTTCCCCCACAGGAGGTAGAGTTGAATTCTCCCTATCCCTACTCTGAAGGTGGGCTATACTTAGTAACTTGCTTCCAAAGAATGGAATAAATTAAGGGAAAAAAATGAACTACAATGGTGATTTCAGGCAATTCCTACCTTAATCAAGTGATGAAGGTTAACATCCCCGGTGATGTCATATGAATATCATGTATCCCTGACATGATGTAGTGAGAAGGGCACTTTTCCTCTGTGGTATTTGCTTTAAAAACCAACAACTCCAGTCTAATCACAAGAAAAACCAGACAAACTCAGAATGAGGGACATTCTAAAGTATACCCAGCCAGTACTCCTCATGACTGTCAAAGTCATCAAAAGCAAGGAAAGAATGAAAAACTGTCAGACCAGAGGAGACTGGAGAAACGTGACAAAAAAGTGTAATATGGTATCCTGGATTAGAGTAATAGAAAAATGCTGATATTCAAACAAAATCTGGATTGTAAGTAACAGTAATACATGAATGTTGGTTTCTTAGTTTTGACAAAATCACAGGGTAATACGCTAACCATGGTGGAAACTCGGTGGGAGTATATGGGAACTCTCCATACAACCTTTGCAACTTTCCTGTATATTTAAAGATATTTCAAAATAGTATGCCTGTCTACCAATCTACCTACCTATAAATGACTGAAATTAACACCTTCTTACTAAATCAGATTAAAAAACATCTGACCATTTTGGCTTAACATTTATCTTCTCAAACATGTTATTTGGTTGTTACTAGAGGTAATACTGAAATCTGCCATCAGACTTGAGGTTGAATCCCCATTATGCTACTCCTATGGCTCCCTTGGGCAAGTTTTTAATTTCCTTAAACTGTAATCTTCCTTTTTGTAAAACAGGGGATGATATACTGTAGTGTATAAAGGTGACAGGAAGAATTAGCCTGCAAATCACTATTATATACCTTAAATTGTCTTTAAATTAAAACTCTCCACTGTTTTCCAGAAATAAAACTATTTCCAGTTCAGGAAAGCTATAATGCTATTTCTATTAAAAAACAAAACAAAACAACTAACGATTATGTCAAAATTGTTAGGTGGGGCAGAAGGGAGAAATTCCCTACCTTCTCACCAGCATCTACAACACTAGCTGTGGATGCCAAATATCAAGAAGACATGAGAAAAAAAAAAAAAATCAAAGATTAGTTTTACCTTGGTAAGTGCCTAGAGATGGTCTTATGCTTAGAGCTTGCTCTGAACTTGAACATTTGTTATCAGATACCAACCATTCAATGTTGTTTAGATGAAGGATTCTACATGGAAATTTAAGAACCCTTGGCAGTTAAAAGGGATACTTGTTGAGTGCTATAAAGTGACAGTTTTAATGGAAGCACACTATGGCATGTTTTTTGCCACATGGAATAAGGTTATGTTCTGGTATAAAATATTCAACTAATTTGGGTACTCTTCTGTTTAAAAAAGTCACAAAAATTGTTCAGTGCCCAAGGTTATAGTGATCATGGCTTTGGAATGTTTTAAACCAAGCATTCATATATAAAAATAAGGTGACCTTACATAAAGGGTAAGTGAATATAGGGAGTTTAAGATGCACAATCAAAAAACAAACCAGACTGTAAATAGCTTAAAAATGAACATTAAATCAGAGCTTAAAAATTCTAATTTATTTCTAACAAACACCACTTGATGCTCGACTCACAAGCTTTATTTACATTTGTCTACAGCATCATTTCCTTACGAAATGAACTAGTACAGCTTAGTTAAACCAAATAAAATCATAATCATTTGAATTGTCTGTAAACTACTATTAGCTAAATTTATAACCTTGCATTTACTTATTAGTACAGCCAAAGTTTTAAATACAGAAAGCACAAGAATAAACCAACGATAACATGTAGAATCTAGAAGATCATATGGGCAATTTAGAAGGTGGACTTTCAAGAAGTCTGAGGCACAATTACAAGAGAGTAAAGTTCTTGTGCAACCTACAGTAAATGTAGCAAAGAAAATTTTAAGACATAAAAAAAGCAGGGGAAGTTCATTGTAAAAATATTATCAAAATATTTCTACTTAAGCTATTTCGCTTTCATCTTTAGATGAGTTGAAGAGAAAAATCACTCGTTTCAAAATAAAAAAACAAGTATCATTTTGCTCTGTCTACTAAGTACCTTAAAACATTTTAATTTTTAGTTGCAGTAGACATTAATATTATGGAAACACAAACAAACCCCCCACCCAAAACAAAAAATGTGGATACTGATCCCCATGACAAAAAGTTCCCAAGCACAATTGTCAACTTCCCTTAATATACTTACCTTGCATTGTCACTGAAGATACTGTTAAGAGAAACCATTTTTAAAACCAGAAGACAGAACAGAGCTCAAATGACCAGATTTTAATTTTGAGAAATAAACCTTGAAAGTATTTTAAGCCATAAGTAATTTCAAGTGAATAGGAACAATTATTTCTGCTTATGTCATGAGGAAATAAGCATTCATCTTTAACTCAGAAGAAAATTTTATGCAATGTGTTTAAAATTAAACATCTCAAAGCAAATGTTCACTTAAATTCACAATGTCTGTTGGTCTTTCACCCAAAGAGAAATATACTTCAAAAACTTTCTTCAATTTGTCCCTCATTAACTATGATTTAACTGTCTACCCTATAATGTGATAACTAGATTTTTAAAGGATATCACACAAAGCTCCTAAAAATATTAAACATTTTAAAGTAAGATGTTTTTCTCATCAACCATATTAGTAGAGATGAACTGTTTGGCATTCTTGCTCCAAATTACGTGTCAGGAAAGGAGAAATAAACACCTTTCTCCTCTCCAATTCACAAAACTTTTCTGTATTAAACTTGGTGGTGCAAAAAGTAAAACTGGATAAAAGAGAAACGACGATTCTAAGGCACCCTTAAAATAGGGAATTTTAAAATAAAGAAATTTCCAGTTGACTGTTTTACAACTAGTTAATAAGAATCACTTCCACATAGGTTAACATAAACAGGTTGACTCTTTTTCCCGGATTAACATAAACAGATTGTTTCCAACTACTTTACCACAGTCTTGCTTCCATGCCCAAAGTCCAGACAAGCCTAGGTAATGCTCATATTTGGAGATGAGAAAAACAAGAGTTCAAATTAAAAAACAAAGTACTTTGTTATAGCTGAGATGGTTTTAAATGAAGCAAATGGTTGTAAATAACGAATGATAAACAAAGCATCTATTTTGGGACATTATGGCTTAAAATACCATTTACTTTTAATTTCACAAATAAACACAGCTGTATTGTTCTGAAAAGCAATGAAAGGCATGCACCTCTACTAGCAGATTTAGCACTTCTGACCAAGTAAGACACCAACTTCTTAAAAAATATGCTTCATGCACTGTACTTTTTTTTTTTTTTTTTAAGATGTAAATTTTAATTCATTATTTCTTTTTTGAACTTGAACGGGAACCAGAATGGGATGATCCAGAAGGTGACCTGTGGTGCCTGTAAGACATAATGGAGAAAGCAGGTAATCTGGTAAGCTGGAGCTGAATATCAGCATTTGTAAAACTTCGAGAATACGAAAAATTAAACCTCATTACACTGGTAAGAGGAATAATTAAAATCTGAGATATAAACTTATACACATAAAATTAACTAGTACTTAGACCTTGGATATGAGCCCAGTAGCAGTGCAATCATAATTTAAAAATCTCTCGATATAGCCACCTCTCAATTATTTAAGGTAATGAAAGAAAGCCTTGCAAAATTGTATAAAACTACAGATTAATACAACAAAGACATATAAACTTGGTGATGGCAGCGTGACTTAATCGTTCTCTGTGATACACTGTATATAATGTGGTAAGTCTATATGTAAAATAGATATAGCAAGGCTTCTGTGTATGCAAATATATATCCATAAATAATTATGTTTTGGAAATCTAGGTCACACAAGATGATTGTACAATTAGTTACAGGATTATATTCATGCAGCTAATATGAATAAGGCAATATATCAACCTGGGTAAAGTAGTGGTGTTCCGAGGGGTTGGCCCTGGGCTCAGGGTTGTTTAGTGTTTTCACCAATCACCTGGCTTATGGAATAGAGAACATGTTCATTAAGTTTAGATGACAACAAACTAGGGGGGTTATATGTGGCTAAGATAAAAATTTGCAGACGTGGAAAAAAAGCAACAGAATGAGTTTCATTGAAGTATGGAGTAATTTTCTTACAAAGGAACAAATGCACAGAAATGAGACTACTTGTGTGTAACCTTAACATCTAAACTCCAAAATGGGAAGATGCAAAACCAGTCATTATGTACAAGGAGAGGTAATCCTAGCACTGAACACAGCAAAAATCAGATTTTATCTAATCCTTACTTTCACAAGCTGAAAGGATATAAAAATTTGTAAAGATTATTAAGGAAGCCATTAAAATGACTATGTAGACATTGAGAACCAAGAGAAAAATAATAAATCCGAATAATTAGCCTGCTGCAGAAAAGGCTGACAGATGACACACTTTCCCACTTTTAAAAATGTCAACACAGATAAAGTAATCTAGTAAAGGTCTTTCTCTACAAAAAAAAAGGATTTGGACTGAAAGATGAAAAATGTATTAGCTACAAGAACAATTTCCTTATAAAGGGCATGAAACAATAATTTGTTGTGGAAATGCATTGATACATATTTAAATTAGGACAGATTTCCAATGATCTGTAATAGTTAATTTTTTTATTAGATGCCCTAGAATCCTACGGTTTCTAATATTTAATGTAAAATCAAGAGCATAAATTAATACCGATAAAAATCAACCTCTAAATTACGTCAACACACAGCTTCTGAATTAAAATCTGAAGAGACAGAAATAACCGAGAGTTGGCTATAATAATTATATATGAAAATAAAAATTTAAACAAAATGATCAAATAGTGGAAGAGAGTGGTTTGATCTTTTCTAAACAACCTGATCAAAGAACAAAGGATAAACAAAGTAATTATCTGTTTTTTGAAGTCCAAAGTTGAAAAGAATAATTTGAAGTGGGAACGAAGGAGATAACGAAAATCTAATCCTTGACTGAGAAGTTCAGTTACTCTATTAAACACACTTAAGAACACCCATTCTTATTTCTACAGAAACCCAAACCTTTCAGGTGACCGTGATCTTGTTCGTCTTTTTTTGCGATCACCAGATGAAGAAGATCTAGAACGACTTCTCTTTCTGTTCCTCTCAGGAGAAGATGATGAACTTGAGTAAGATCTTTTTCGTGGGGAAGAAGAGCCCCTGTGGGACCTGGAGCTGGATCTTCATTGATTGAGAAACAAATCAAACATTTCATTAAAAGAAGAAGTCAGGCAGACGGTTTAGTTAATAGCTCCAAAAATAATCAAACAGAATTTATAACTATAAAAATTTTATAAGGAAGAATACTTACTGCTTACTCAACAGAAGACCTCTGGTTCAACCATGAAATAATTCTACTTAAACAATTTACTTTAATTTCATCACTTTAAAAAATTCTAAGATAAGTGCTCATTACTTACAATTAAAAACCAGCTTAATGTATTAAAGTAGAATTAAATACTTCTTTTAAAATTTAAGGCTTTCATTTTAAAGTATACATAAATAGCAAAGCTAACAGGTGGGCATTTGCATGACTTTATGTCTAGAAACTACATCCTTCCATTTGGGGAAAAAATATGTATCATACAACTTCCTGAGGAAAGTAAGCATAACAATTTGCTGTGGAATTATGCAACTTATTAGTTAAGCTGCTGTAGAAAAAGCAGGGATAGGGGAACAAAATGACAAAGAACAGTAGCTATTAAATTGCTAAGTATTCAAAGGAAAATAAAATGAATAACTTTAAAACTTGATTTATATTAACAATATTTATTTTTATGAAGGATTACTATCCATGAAGTATGAAGTGTTGACATTCACATGTTTCAGGCAGAGGTAAATGCACAAATGTTTAAATACAATTTTTTTCTTCATTTACATTTTTTGGTTGAAGTAATTTAGCTCAAACTTCCCAAAAAATTCACCTTTGGGCTTAAAATAAAATCAGAAAGCCCAAAAGGAGAATTCTTTGGAAAGTTATAAGCAATGAAAAAAATGTTTGAAAAGAATTATGAAGGCTGTTCTGTAAACCTTAATTAAAGTGCTTCCCAAAGGGAACTAGGACTTAAGGATCTTCACCTAAGAAGCACTCAAATAAAAGAAATGAAACATTGATAATACATAATAATAACAATAATCTCACTTACTCTCTATTTTGTATTGGCTTAATACAAGTGTGCATATCATTCTTTTCTCCTTAATGTTCTCAAATTACAGTTGCCCTCTAATGCTACAGATTGGCTCTAAAATAAGCTATTAAGCAATTATTTTTACCAAAATAGCTACCACTACACTTCAGTGTTTTCCACACAAGTGGAATTTTCGTTGTTCTCTTATTCATGTTAGCTGCCTTTAATAGATAAACAAATTAAATTAAAAAGAAAGGCAGTATATTTTGACCAAGACTAGAAAAAACTTCAAGAGACTAAAAACTAGCTTCTCACTTGCTTCTCTACAAATTTTTTTCCCTCTGCAGGTCTAACTAAATGCAACCTGAAGTTAACAAGAATGCTTACTTTAAGATCACATCCTACTTAGACTAACCAACCAAACTTCTTGATTTAATTTGTGGAATTTAAGAACTCTATATTTCTTACATACTATACATACTGTGTACAATATTCTGTGTTATATTACAGATAAATGAAAATAAAACCCTCCAGAAACTTCATCTAATATAAATGAAAAAATTGTTTCTATAAATATTTAAACAATTGCCATGCAAAACAAAATTTGTTTTGAGGCAGTTCTTTTTCTTCCTTTTAAAATATGGAGTAAACTTTTTATTTGCATATCTCAATTTATTTTAACTACTACTGCAAAATAACTTTAATGAACAGACATTTGGTGATAAAACTTGGCTCCATCTTCCTACTTCATCACAGTTTAGCACAAAAATAGCAAACCTTGCATAATGCAAAATAACCATGTTAATTCAATCATGGGAATGTCTTGGCACACTGCTGGCAATGGAAACGTCTCACGGTGAGAAAATTAAGCTGAGGCAAGTGCATTAGTTTTCTAATGCTAAAATAAAATTGACAAGTAGAAGCAAAATAAGAGGAAAAAAAGCAACGCCTTCTGCAGCCTTTAAATATTTTTTCTCTCTGCTTTACAGAGAGAAGCTACCTCATTCACCTTGATTTCGACCCACGAGATCTCGAACGTTCTCTGGAACTGGAACGAGATCTTGACTGCGAACTGGAAGAACTTCTTGAACGGGACCTGGAACAACATGGAAGGATTTTTTTTTCCCAGGACCATTTAATTAAGCTTTGTGATACGAACACTGAAAGAAAAATATGTATTAGAATTCATTTTCATATAGTAAGAATACTATTTGGGACATATATTTTCAAAATACAGTATTTTAAGGTTTATTTTAAACTTTTATTCTGTATTAATACTTATGTCAAAACTTAAGGTAATAATTTTTGAAAATAATCAACTATTACTTTCCAAGTTTGACAAAACTTCTCTAAAAATCATTCGAGATTGTACAAATAAAAACGTCCAGCATTATCACTTTATTAACACTGAATACTTTATATGTTCACAAATATTTAGAAGTATCCCGGGACTTACACATCCAGAAATACTGGATGTTGCAGTTTATATTTAACTTCTGTGAAATATTTCCATCAATTTCCCTTTTCCAATTTAAAAATCCTTCTATTTTCTTAGTCACTATCTAGCATAAAGCTTAAATGTTGATATGTGTACATTTTTAAATCCACAGGTTTTTCTGTCTACTCAAAGGTTAGAGAATTAAAGAGAAACTACATTGACAATCCTGTCACTGTTTTACGTAATTATATTACTGAAAAATGACATAGGGGAGATATGGTCCATTTGAATTTAAAAAGTCAAGAAATGAAATAAATTTCATTTAATTTATATACTTAATTTGTCCCTGAAAATAATAATCTGCAGAAAAACAATAATTTTTACCTTAAAATTATCTTTATAATCACTCTTTTAAATTTTCAGGCTTTACAGTACTCAATTAACAATTATCTAATTATTAATTACTCAATTAGCTAATATTTTATTCCCCAATACAGTTAAAATTCATTGCACATAGTTTCACTTAACTAAATAGTTCTTCAAGGGAAGATTGCTTACATAAGGTATTGCTTTTTCTCAACCAAAACTTCATTTTTATTGTCGACTGCACAATGAGGGACTTTTCAATTAAAACTTTACATTACTAACAAAATAATATTCAAGTACAACACAAATTAAATCTTCTGATTTATTCCTGGACAGCTCTAAAGTATAAGCATTAAGATAATAGAATACAGATGAATTTGCTTCTTTATTCAGAACACATATACCAAATAAAACACTGTGTAGTAATAGTAAGCAACAACTTAAATGCCTATTTTTGTACTAGTGTTTAAAATCATCAGTGGAAATGTAAATCTTCACTTTATTTACGTTAAAATTTCTAAATGTAAACCATCTCCTTAGATAACTCAGTATCACTATATATAATGATTTAATTGAATTTTTAAAGTCTATTTTAATAAAAGGCATGGTGTTAAAATGGAACTAAGGAAGTTTCATATTAAAATTTTTTATTTCTGAAAATACTGGACAATAACTTCATGGCACTAAGACAGAAAAAATTATCTTATAAAAGATGACTTGAATGAAAACTCTGAAATAAAAGGAAAGCTTATTTAGTCAAGAAAAACAAAATTTATAAGTAAAGAAGTTAGATACTGACATTTTGACTGGTGTTACCCTTGACCTGTACCCGTTTACCTGGACCTAGACCTTGAACTGGAGGGGGAGGATGAGCGTGATGAAGATCGTGAATGTGAAGACCGAGACTTTGAGCGACTTCGTCTATTAGATTTCTTTTTATTACTATCTTCTTCTTCACTGGCATCAAGATTATACTTTGAGAGATCAGCATCATCTTCATCCTCATCCTAACGAAAACTCAGAGTCAATTATATTTAGACATTTAGATATCCATGCTATCTAGGAATGATGAATAGTTCTATGTACTGGACATCTCCATATGGATTTATTATATAGCTAACACCTCAGCAAATTCATTCTCAGTCCTGAAATCTGACTACTACATTCCTCACCTCAGCTAAAGAGACTTAATGACTGTCTCAGACAGTTAAAGAAGTAAATGTAGAAGTCATACTTATTTTCTTTTTCATCACAATGTATTTCCAAATGAGCTGTCAAGAATTTTCAGTTTTACTCCCTTAAAAGTTCTTGAATCCAGCTCCCTCAGTCTTAGTTCAGAACTTCATTCTTTAGTATACTACCATAACCTTTTAGGTAGTCTCCCTAACTGCGAATCCATTCTGCCTCCCAAGTATTTCAATATGTTGACAGTCATCACTCTAAAACACAGATCAGATAAATATACCTTATTTGTTTGTTTTTAAAACTTGTTTTGCATTGATTTGTTCAGCTGCATTCAAGGGCATCCTATGCTCAGTCCCAAAAGTACCCTTAATCTGGATCTATTCATCCATAACATTTTACACTCAGGCCCCACAGAAAAAACATCACCAGACCTAATGTGGCTGCTGACCCCCCCATTACATTCTTCCCTCTGCTCTAACCACACTAGCCTATGTATGATTTTTTGGATGGTGCTGGCTTGTTTCCTGCTAGGGGAAACTTTATTTGCTGTCCTCCCTGCCTTAAAAGTGCTCCGACCCCAGCTCTTACAGCAGGCTCCTTCATATCATTCTGTCACTCAAATTTCAGCTCAAATTCCACTGCCTCAGAAATCCCCCAACCACTAAAAACAAAGTAGCTCTTCTAATGCTCTGCTATCACAACATGTGTCTACACCACAGTATTGCTATTTAAATTATCTTTCATTTATGCCTTTCCCCCTCTGGAATTTAAGTTCCCTTAAGAGAAGGGTGGTTGTGTCTCAGTCACTTTGTATCTCCGGAGTCAGAATAATGCTTGGCAGAGCAGAAGCTCAAAATCTTTGTGAAAACAAATGATTACATTGGAGAACGCATCTTCACCATGGGCCAAAGGTTGTCAAAGACATTCACATGTTATCCCATAGCCTGAATAAGACAAAGGGGAAATATAAGGAAATAATTTACCTCATCTAATTTATATTTAGAAAGATCTTCATCCTCATCCTCTTCTTCTCCCTCAGATTCTTTATCTTCAACTTCCTTTAAAATAGATGCAGGACCAACTGCCTTCCCTCTGTATTTTTTCTTTTTACGTCCAAACTATAGAAAAAGTTTCATAACACTTCTGTTAGCTGAAACTGTTAATATAAATACTTTTTTTCAAAGAAATTACTTTTATATATTTAGGTTAATGTACATTTTTATGTTGGTTAACATACATTTTTATGTCAGTTATATGTTTTAAATCCATTAGGATTTCCTACAAAATGGTAAGCTGCTGTAAAAGACTCAAAGTGTACTTACAAACATGAGATACATTTAACAGTTTCCTTTTGCAAGGTATTTTCTAACATGTTTCTCTAAGCTGCTTTCAACCTGCACACTAATGTATAGCTTACCTCATCATATTCACCATCAGATTCTTCTCTTTCTATATATTCAACATTTTCTCTTTCATTAAAACCACCACCATATCCTAAAAAAGAGGGGGCATATACTGTTATAAGAATTCATCAAAGTAACAAAAAACATGTCAGAATCACTTACAAGCAATAGAAAAAAAGAAAATCTTATCAAAGACATTTGTCTATCCCTTTAATAAATTACTGGTCTAAAAAAAAAAAAACCACCAAATCACTATAGAGAAGTCTCCAAGTTATATACCATAGCTGGGAAAGTCCCGTGGCTACACTTACAGCTCTTCTCAATTTCAAAATGTCCTATATGATTTTAGTAATGCGTGTAATATGAGTGGAAAACAGCTCCTTAAACCTCTGCTATAACCAACTTTTAAAAGGACTTTCCTCTGTAGTTTACCCTAATTCTTCTGGGAGAAGTGGGTTCAATAAGAACCAACTATCAAATTTTACTGTTTACTAGTTGAAAATGGTCTGAAATCTTTTGATAACTGAAATTTTGCTGGGCTAAAATGTAGCTAGAGCTTGGAAAATTTTTAATTATATAGACAAATATAATGACACAATAAAGGACATCCAAATTGGTTTTAAATACAGTTAAAAGTCACTCAGGTTTTCTGAAGAAGCCAGTAACTTCCCAACTGAAAATACGCTACTAAAAAGCAATCAGGATCAGCAAACCATTATTGTTTGCTGTCACAACTAATATCTACAATTTAGACTGACAGATGGAGATGTGGTTAAAAGTAACATAATCTAACTACCTCATATTTCAGAACAGTACCAGCACACAGAGTGATTCCTGGATTTAATGAACCAGCAAAACGTTAAATAAACTTATAGATAAAAAGGTATTTTTTAAAAATTCAAGATTTGTGACTTTAAATCTGTCAATCACGGACATTAAAAAAAAAAAAAACTCATCACTTACCCTCTCATCATTTCATAAAAGAGCCACAAACAAATAGTAGAGAGCATGTAATTGCCCCAACAAAATAATGTAATAAAATTAACTTTCTTAAAAAAAAAAAAAAATCACATTAATACAAAATCCTTCCTTTCTTCACTGTACTTTGTACCAGTGAACACTGCAATGTATCAGTGTTTATCCTTGGATATCACTTTATATCATCCCTTTTTTCCTCCTCCTTCACCCTTGTTCTGGACACAAAACAGACTCCAACTGTAATACACAAGAATTTCCTTTTGTTTTTATGAATATGATACAAAAGTGAAAAGTGTCTTAAATACCAATAACAACTTTTCCTTAGTAAACTCTTGGCTCTAGTTTTTCAGAGTATCAAATATAAAGAAACAGAAACAAGTACAACTGGGTATATATTCACCTCAAAACAGCTCAAATTCAATGTTAATTCTGGAATATAAACACTGTAGAAAGTTATAATTCAACAATACAACTTCCTGTCTCTACATATATGTTTAATATTATATCAGTATGTCCTGAGACTAAGGTACAAGTTGTTTGATAAACAAATTGTAAGAGATGACTAATAGTAAAGACCTAAACCTTAAAATACTTTGAAGTTGGTGAAAAATTAAGACAAAAATATTCACGGGATCTAGATGGAAAATGATTCACATAAGAAAAAAAAAGAAAAAATACGATACAACAGAATGATTGTTTTTAAGGCCAGTGCAGAAAAATGCCTGATAAACTGGACTATTTATATGTGGAAATGTAAACATATTAAAACAATCCTATATTAAAATCCTATTTAAAAGGCTTTTAGTAGAGATCTTTGTTTAGTCAGTAATCTAAAGCTAAAAAATGGTATGGCAAATATGGGGAGCTAAAGAATCAATTATACCAAGATTTAGAAAGTGAACTGTAACTCATATAGGTAGATTTTGCATAGGTATGTAAGTAAAATTACTTTAAAGTGAGTTTGATAGCAAATACAAAGCTATTTTCATGTTCACTCACATAGGCCATAAAAAAGAACCTAAACAATCTGCTAACAATAAAGAGATTATTAAGGTATGCTGTTTGAACCCATACAACAAATACACCTCACAAACTCTTTCCCTATACGTGGGAAATATAGCTCTATCATAAAAAAAAACTTCAGGATCAGTGAGTTAGAGGAATAACTGGCTTATTTATGTGTGTTTCCTTCATTCTACTGGTTTGAAGCTCTTCAGGGAATATTGTAAAAATTGGTCTTCTTGCTTCCACTCTTGCCACTCCTACCCCCTAATTCTTTTTTCCATAAACCAGTAATGTTTAAAGAAAATTAGACGTGTCACTCCCTGCTAAAAATCCTTCAGTTACTTCCCATTATATTTAGAATAAAATAAAACTCCTTACCATGATTTACATGGCCTTTGCCTATTTCTGAAGTGATTTCTGGAGCTCCTAGGAATTCATCCAATATGCTAAATTCTTTCAAGTCTCAGGGCCTGATTCACACAAACTGTTTGTTCTTGCTTACAAGTGATCTCTCAACTTGCTACTTTCACTTCTTAGCTTAAACATTGCTCTCTCAAAGAAGACTTCATTGATCCTTGCCTTTACATGTCTGTTTTGCTCACTCAAGTATCCCCAGCACATGCCCAATGGCCAAAAAATACTTCTTCAATATATTAGTATAGGAAATGCCACAATTCTGGTACCATTTAAAGAATGAGTTTTGCTGTTTTTTTTAAAAGGCTTTATAATACAATTTAGATGACACAAGCTACCAAGAACCTCTGTATGTTTTTAGCAAGTGTTAAAATAAAAATCATATCTTAAAATTTGTCTCAAAAAATGAAAAATATGAGCAAGGACCAGTAAAGGATCAAACACAGATTTAAAACTGGCCTGAATTAGGGTTGTGACAATGGAAATGAAGAGAGAAAAGGGGATGAATATAACATGTACTTCAAAGGAAGAACTGATACACTAACTTGAAAATTCTATGATTCTGTATTTTGATTAATTAGTAAACAGAACAAATAGTAAAGAGAAACTAGAGAGCAACAGTATGTATTAGCTCACATCTTCAACAGTGACCAGCAAAAGACAACTACTTATATATGGGGAGATGGGAAAGAGTCAAGACACCGGAATGACAGAAAAAAGATAATGAGTAAAGGAAAGTGAGGTTATCAAACAAACTTTGACAACTTCAGTTGTTAGACTACAGCTCTTGCATTAGTGAAACTTTTAAAGGAGTCACAAAATAGGTCAAAGAGAATGTGAATAAATAAAAGGCTTTTAGGAATTACAATTTTTAAAACTGTTAAAAGATTTTGGACTTTATCCTAAAAGCAATCAAAACGGTTTTACACAAATGGAGTTTTTAGTTTGGAAAAAAAAAAAACCCTGGCTGCAACTGAGCAGGAGGGGAGTATGTACAGACACCAACAAGATGGCTATTTTTCCAAGAAACAAGATATAGTGGTATCTCTGCCCAGGGTAATGATGGAAAAGACTTTTGGGGGTACAGGAGAGGTGAAGGAGTTATTAAGAAGGACACCTAAGTTTCTGGTTTATGTAACAAGCATATGGTGGGTGGTACTAATCATGAGAAAGAGATCACTAAAAGAGGGCCATGTCCTGGGGGAAAATCATGAATTCAGTTTGGATATAATGAGTTCGACATTTACATGGTGATGCTGAATAGGCAGCTGAATATACAGGTCAAAGAAGTCTGAGCTAGAGACATAAATTTGGTTCTCATTGGTGTGCCAATGCTCACTTAAACTTAGGGCTTAGAAGAAAATGCCTAGAAAATATAGAGCAAAAAAGAGACCTCAGGAATTGGACCTTGAAGAACCCCAACATTCTGCGGCCACGAAAATAAAACCAAAAAGGAGACAGAATAAACAACCAGAGGGGTGTGGGGGGGATAGATTAAAAATACAGGGGAAAAAATGTAAACCTTAAAGACGTAAGGGAAGGAAAAAAAGGGAGACTCTTATTTAAAAGGTCTTAGTCTATACAGAGCATGGAATTGTCTACAGTCAGAGAGGAAAATAAAACAGGGAAATAGTTTACTAAGTCTAGGTCTGACAAGGTGACTATATATAGAATGGAGCCTTTGATTGTACAAGTTGCTGAATGATAAAATCAGATGTGAAGTACACTGATAATGTGGTTGCACTAACTGATGATAATGGGAAAACTATATTCTATTTAGCAAATATTTTCACCCCACTACTGACCACACACAGATGATAGGTTATTATTTAGGCCAATGATTACCAAACACTATCTGAATCACCTGAAGATTTTTGGGACTCACCCGGAAAGAGCTTTGATAGTTCTGTTTTGGAATCTGGATTTTTAGAGTTTCTCAAATGATTCTAATGTATAGCCAAATTTGATAATTATTGCCTAAACTTTAGACAATTACTTTAAATGGTGCCCCATGCTCTTTTTTGTCATACTAGGATATCAAATGAATTAAAAAAATGGTACTACTCTATCATTACTAATAACAAACATTTAGACCAGCAAAGGAAAGAGTGAGGAATAAAACATTTCTAAAACTATCTTAATGTTGACTACTTGTAAGGATAAGGCCTCCTGATGCTGTACTTTGTAAATTGTGAAATTATCAAACAAAAGATGACTTTGTGGATGAGGGGAAAAAAAACAAGGTAAAAAAAAAAAGGGCAGGGACTTCCCTGCTAGCGCAGTGGTTAAGAATCTGCCTGCCAATGCAGGGGACACGGGTTTGATCCCTGATCCAGGAAGATCTCATATGCCGAGCAACTGAGCCCGTGCGCCACAACTACTGAGCCTGCGCTCTAGAGCCCGTGAGCCACAACTACTGAGCCCATGCTCTGCAACTATTGAAGCTTGCACACTCTAGGGCCTGCGTGCGGCAAGCACTGAGCCTATGCTCAGCAACTACTGAAGCCCGTGTGCCTAGAGTCTGTGCTCTGCAACAAGAGAAGCCACCGCAATGAGAAGCCCATGCGCCGCAACAAAGAGTAGACCCCGCTCGCCACAACTAGAGAAAGCCTGCGTGCAGCAACGAAGACCCAACGTGGCGGCCCCCCCTCACAAAAAAAGGGCAGAATAAACAATCTTCATTTACTGTGCTCTTATGAAGTGGTACAATTATTAATTTCAATGTTTAGTTCTTTTAAAATCATTTAGTTGGACTGTGTTTGAATATTACCTGTTCTTTCTTCCAGCTTAGCATACTTTGGAGTATTACACATGTTACACTCTGATCTTCTGGCCCAATTAACATTACTGCAACTTTAAAAGTGAAAAATATCAAATTAGTAGACTATAACGTAAGACAAATAGTAAATTTTTAAAATTTTAAAATAAAAAGTAGAGTAAACTATCATAAAGGAATGTGTACTAAGGATGCTACAAAGAATATGTACCAATGTACGTATTCTGGAGAGAGTATGGTTCCAACAGACTGAACTACTTAAGCAGAGAAGCGAAACCTATACAGCATGAAGACTGCCTTTGTCATTTTATGAGAAATCAATGACAAATTATATCTATAGAGAGTCTGCCATCATAGGGGGGAAAAGATACCACTTTAAACGAAAGGTTCTACTAATTTCCCAGTCTCCAAATTCACCTCAAGAGTGAGGTTATACCTTCCAAATAATGTTAAAAAAAATTTGTTTTGCAGAATCAGTTCAAGCACTGGATCCCAAATTCAGCAACTAATCTTGCTGGAAAGTTATCTAATACTAACTTAGTATCTGTAAGACCAGAAATTTGTGTAAGACCCTCTTCTGATTCAGTCTCCTTTCATGTGTATTTGATTCTCTGCTTAACAGAAAAGATGGATATTGGAAAAATCAATACAGCATGTGAAAACCAGAAATATTAAGAAACCTACCTAATTAGGAATAATTATCTATGGTATGCAACTTATGATTCTAAAATTACTGTGCAAACAGGAAAAATAAATTTTGTGGTATATTTCACATTAATGATACAGGCTAAAAGTTTTTGAGATTTTTTTTAACAGAAATAGGTTTTAGTGCTTTTAAATACCCTTCTCTCTTTTTTTTGAATGTTAGCTCACCTTAAGCATCTGTTTACTGGTATACATAATTCATCTTAGTAACAACTAATATTACCATTAAAAAACAGAATTTAAAAGTTCTTTAAACTATGTCAGATATATACTTAATAATAATCAACAGACCTTTAATTTAAAGGTTACTTTGGCTTGTCAATGTGACTAGTAAGAGTAGGTAATATTAACAAGTAGTGGCTAGATATATATTATTATGGGAAAAAGTGAGGACGATAATTTGAAACACATACGTTTTACATTGCCAGTCATTAGCACTAAACAAGCCTCGGCTCTTTTCTGCAAGTGTCTTTCCTATTTCAGTGCCTCCAGCTTTCATCATCTTAGCCTCAGTTGTTTTCTCTGAAGAATAGAAAAATGAAGTATGAATCTGGGAAAATAAAGAAATGATCTGTATACACAGTCTTAAAGGAAGCTTCCTTAAATGCTTACCTCGACCACATCTATTACAGCTAGTTCTTCTAGCAAAGTTTACATTTCCACATCTGAAAATAAAGTAAAAAAAATTTATACAGACATCTAGTAAACTTATATAATTTAAAAAATCTTATTACACAACTTTTTAATGTGTCTTCCCTATATACCTGGGTCCAGAACTTCTACCACCATCTCTTTTCACGTTAATGTCAATGTTAACAAAAAAAAACCCAAAAACCAACCCTCACAATTTAGGTGGAAAAAATACAAGATTTGAAGTCACAAGTCGAGGATAAGAAACTCCAATCTTTCACTTACCAATTATGTGATCCTGGTAAGTCACTGAGGATCTCTGTGCCTCAGTGTCCTATTAGCACATATCGTTAATTATAATGAAATCCCCTCACAAAGCTTAAGTGAGATGTGAGTCCACTTGAACAATTACTGATGAAGCACCGGCGGTTCAAAAAAACTTTAAAGTAATTCTTCGTATAGAAAATAAGATTATACAATAAGAATTATAAGAAATACAAAATCCTAAGGGTGAACCAAGGGGGAGAAAATGAGTTAAGTCAGATACAGCTTCACAGATCTTAATAAAATACTCTTGTTAGAAATAGGAGGTGGGATGGTAAAAAACAAAGGGAGATAGGTTGTACTGACTAAAAATATAAATAGGTTCAATAATTAAAAGAAAACTGAGTTTTGGGGGATATTTATCAACCTCTGAAACCTGCCTGAAAAACTACAACCAATAATCTCAACACATCAAGTAACCTATCACTTTATACTGATATTTAATGAACAAAAACAAAAAACTTACTGGGTTCACTAACATGGTCTTCACAGTGCATCTGCATGTCAGTAAAAGCATGCTAAGTGCTCTGAATAACATGTACAGATTAAATTTAAAAATTTTTAAAATGCTGATTATTTCTTAGGTGTTATACTAGCATGAAATAAAGTTGTGAAATACAGAATGGACACTAAACTGAAGCACTCCAATTAATTTTTAGGTTGTTTTTTCCCCCCTAAAGAATATCTTTATGACTCCAATAAGCATTGAAAATATATTCCGAAAATGTTTTCTGGATTTATACACATTGTAGAAGTTACCCTGTTCATATATCTGTAACTGAGTTGAAATGCACTCTTACAAAAACCTACCTCAAATATTTGAGTATACTGTCATTAATGACACTGTCAAAAGCACATTATTCTACAAGTAACCAACAACACAAAAGTCACTTGTTTGTTCTATTCAAAATGGTTAGACTTGAGACCCTTCAAGTCATCTTCATCTTTATGCAATCGAGAGCCATCAATTTTTTATGTAAAAAAACATGATGCTTCACTTAAACTGTTTAAAATATGAATAGAAGACAAATGCTGGGGAAATAAGGACTTATTCTCCTTTGACATTTGATTTTAAAACTACTATCCACAGCTATCAATCAGTATTTGCTACATTTTATTGCTCTACACATACAGTCTATGTTATATCACTGTAAAGGAGCTCTTCCACCCTAGGTTTTTTTTTTTTTTTTAAGCAAAGGTAAATAACCTATTTAAAGTTCCATGATCTATAAGCAATAGGACTGGAATTAAACCTAGGTTTATTTGCTTCAAAGCTTTTACTCTTTACTACCATGAACTCCACATGCTATCTGTGGCTAGCTTAGAGACAAGAAATCAAATGTTTTTTTTGGAACGAGTTGTGCATTCCATTTTTCTGACAATTACCTTCCGTAGTAATTTTCGTATCTCTCCAAATAGGCAGACCTACTTGAGGACCCGTCAATAAAATAGTACTAATAATTTAATAGAGCACACTGGTTTCAGCAGAGTTACTAAACACGTGCTTCTTTGAAGCAGGCATTCTCCAGGGCTGAGCAGGCAAAAACACAGGCCTCATGTGTTTCGGCTCTAACGAGGCGAAAGGTCCAATTTTTGTGGGGTGATTAAAGGTCATAAAAAAAAAATCAGAATGTCCCCAACCAAAAGAGGATAGTGTTCGGGAGGAAAAAGTATCAACAGTAAGGAAAGTTTAAATTGGAGAAAAAAAAAAAAGGTGAATTATGAGCAGCAAAAACATGAGTTCAAGAAAGGAACGCTTTCCGCGAACAAGAGTCAAGTTCTGCAGGGAAAAGTCACGTGGAGGAGATCAGACACCGAGGTGGCCACGGTTAGAGAGATATCCTTACCGCTGAAACTTGGTCGGGGGCGGGGGGTGGAGCGTGGGGCAAAAGGGCGGCCATCTCGTTCCCGAAAACGACGGGCTGACTTGGAGAGACATGATCTAGGAGACGCTGGAAACATACTCAAAACAAAGGCTCCCGAAAGACCTCATAGTGAGGAGACTAAGAGCCTCCTTCCCGCCCGGGAGCCGGCAATTCACCGCCTCCACCCGGCTGGTGATACCAGAGACCGTAAAAACGGAAGATGCCCAGTCGACTCGAGAAAACCTCTACCGATCAACCCCGCTCCAATTCGGGACCCTTCATAAACTCACTTTTTGTCAGGGCAAATCCAGTCACCGTCACTGACTCGGAAATTCTTGGTCGACATCTTGGACGCCGCCACCACAGCCACCCGCAGCTGCGTCTTCACAGGAGGAAGCGGGCCGGGGACTTTGGGCACTCCGGGGCTGTCCCCACGCTGCCTGACTCCTTCCCATCACTGCGACAGGGTTTGACAGTGAGAACACTCGGCCTGGATTGAGTTTGAACGTTATTTTCCATAAAAAGATGCCTGTGAGATTTTTTCCTAGCCGAAAGACTTACAATGCAAATAAATTCTCTGAGCTAAACTAACAGGCGCCGCCGGGACAGCCTAGGAAGGAGGCCTCCGTGGCACTAGAAGCCTCGGAGAGCCCCCTACAGGCGGGAGGACCCGAAAGGAAAGTACTTCTGCTCAGATGGGCGGAGTTAGGGAGGCGGGGGCGGAAGTGACGGTGATCTGCTGGCAAAGGCGGGTTGCTCTTCCTGCATTAGGAGGGTGAGGTGTATGAGCTCTTCGTGTTTCTGGAGAAGTTATTTTAATAAAGGCTCGAGAACTCTGTTCTGTCACCATGGACACTGGATGTCGTTTAAACACTTATTTTTTGGGGGTACGTAAATAGGTATACCAGATAAGCATTGTACACGTGGAAACCAACCAGCAATTTTGGAACTAGGATATTGCCAGTATTGTTAAAATTACCTGTCTTTTCCCATTCCATTCCCTTGCTTTCCTCCAGAGGTAACACTCTCGTGTATTTTGGGTTTATTCCCTTGCTTTTAAAAATTTAGTTTGTGTACATGTATGTTAACTTTGATAAACGGTTGAGCTTTACAAGGATAGTTTATTGTTATGTAATCGTCTGCAACTTTTTTTCGTTCAGCAATGTGCTTTTAAATCATCCTAGGTTGTTGCATACATTTGTATATAGCTGTACTTAATTTTACTGCTCTACACTGGTAATGTTACTTTGTGTGACAGTTTATCCCTTCTGGTTCACAAGTTTTGTCATTAATTCGGATACAAAAATGCAAGAATTTTTCTAGAGTACAGCATATATCTAGAGACAATGTCTTCATCTACTCTAATTGTAACTGCTTTGAAGTCTTTGGTAATTGTAACATCTTGGTTATCTAGCAGTTGGTAGCTAACATCTTGGTTATCTAGCAGTTGATAGCTGTTGATTTTTCCTTAAAAGCTGACCGTATTTTTCCAGTTCTTCATATATTGAGAAATTGTGATCCCCTGCCCCTCTGCCGCGCATCTTTGGGGATCTTAGTTTACCAACCAGGGATTGAACTCAGGCCCTTGGCAGTGAAAGTGCAGAGTCCTAACCACTGGACTGCCAGGGAATTCCCGAGTAATTGTGATTTTTCTCCAAGACATTTTGATTTTATGTTGCATAGACTCTGGGTCTTGATAAAAGTCTTTGGGGAATGTTGATTTTTGTTTTGTTCTGTTTTAGTAGGCCGTCAATTCAGTTCGGTTCCTATCTCAAGTTGAGTCTCACTTGTGGGTGCTGGTTCCATAGCAGTTCAGTTTTCAAAGGTTTTATTGTGCTCTTTGAGTCTGTTCTATACATAGAACACTCAGGAATATTTTGGAACTTGGGTAGTAATTTAAATTGTAGTTCAGTTAACATATCTTTTGCTGTGCAGCTTTTTGTCTGCCCTGCAGATGGTCAGTTCAGGTGTGAGCACTTATGTGGATTCATACATAGAATTAAGGAGTTCCCTTCTCCAGCTCACCCCTTTTTGATATTCCTCTCATATTCTTTGTTTTGCAGAGTCTCCTTTTCCTGCTAGAAATATGAGGTTTCTCTTGGAGTTTTAGCTTTGTGCCATAGCTGCAGCATCTGACTAGGGCCCACACTGGAGCAAAGAGGTGAGAGAAAAGAGCAAAACAAAACAAAACATGAATTCCCTCCAAATTCTTTGGACCGCAGAAGCTCCTGTTCCTAGTTTCCTTGTCTAGAAAGACAGGGTTTTTCTTGGGGTTGTAGCTGTCCAAGCCTAGGCCCTAACTCTCAGGTCATGCCCAGAGGGAAAAAAGGAGGAAAAAAGCCAAGTATTCCCCCACAGAAGCTCCCTTTCCCCATTCATCTGGCTAGAAATATGGGATTTCTTTCTGTTTTTGCTTCCTTTGTGAAACCACAGTTTCACTGGGTGCCAGACCTCACGTCAAAGATGTGAGAGAAAGTAGAAAAAAAACCACACAGGGCATTTTACTAAGTTTTGACTCTCCTCCCCAATCTGTTTACTTTTGTTTACTTTTTAGAGTCCTCAGGTAGTTGCTTTTTGTATTTTGCCCTGAACTTTTAGTTGTAATCAGTAGGAAAGATAGGCGGTAGTGGACTTACTCCATTTTGGCTGGCACTGTAAGTCAAGGAAATACAAATTACCACTATGCATCCATCAGAATGATTAAAATGAAAAATTTAGACAATACCAAGTGTTAGAGAGGGTGTCGAACAACTAGAATTCTTATACACTGCTAGTGGAAGTGTCAGTTGATCGTTTACTTTGGAAAATGTTTCTCAGAATCTTTTAAGTCTGAATATATTCATACCCTATGACCATAAGATTCGACTCCCAAGTATGTTCCCCACAGAAATGCACATATGTTCACTAAAGATATATATAATAATGTTCATCACTGCACTATTCATAATAGCCCCAAACTAGAAGTTCCTAATTACTTACGAATGGTAGCCTGGGTAAATAAACTGTTATATGTTCACACAGTGAAATTCTATATACAGCAATGACAATAAACAAATCGCAACTACATTGAAGAGTATGGCTGTTACTCTCTCTCTCTCTCTCTCTCTCTCTCTCACACACACACACACACACACACACACACACATATTGAATTGGAAAAGCCAATTACACACTAGCACATGCTATATGATCCATTTACATGAAGTTCAAAAGCAGGCCAGACTAATCTAAGATGATGGTTACCCTAGGGAGTGGGGAGGAGATAATGACTGAAAGGGGACATGAGCTTTTTGGAGTTCTGGTAATATTCTTTGTCATGGTCTGGGTTTTGGTTCCATAGGTATATTCATTTTATAAAAATTCATTTAACTGTGGCACTTATGATTTAGGCATTTTCTTAAAACTTCAATAAGTGTAAACAAATAAATAAATTTGCCCATTTCACCATATCCCATCTATCCTTCTCATTCAGTAGATCCTGGCTAAATATTGTACTAACTTTAGGGGCAAAGGGAGTGATCACAGACCACCCTGTGAGATTCCGAGTATGATTGATACAGGGATACCTTCTGGCCCTAATGGCGATTGAGGTTTCTTGCAGTTGGGATGTTGAATCCGCCATAACTCATATTAAGAAGTGTTACAGGGCTTCCCTGGTGGCACAGTGGTTGAGAGTCCGCCTGCCGATGCAGGGGACACGGGTTCGTGCCCCGGTCCGGGAAGATCCCACACGCCGCGGAGCGGCTAGGTCTGTGATCCATGGCCACTGAGCCTGTGCGTCCAGAGCCTGTGCTCCACAACGGGAGAGGCCACAGCAGTGAGAGGCCCGCGTACCGCAACCCCAAGAAGTGTTACAAAGCTATTAAGAAAAGATACGTTCTCAGTTCTACGGTTAACTGAAGGTTTGAGGTGGCAATGATCTAACTTCTGAGGTTTACATTTCTAAACTAAGAGAATTTTCTTAAAATACAGAAAAATCAAGCAGATTTTGTTCTTGTATGTTCAGACACATGCAGGAAAAAAATCTGCTATTCAAAAACAATGAAAAATAACTTTATAAAGTTCCAAATCTTAACTTCCCTGCATGAGTTACAATTGAAATATATTAAAATAATGCTTTTTTAACTGACCAGAATTTTTTTAAAAAATTATAATATATAAATCCTTGTGTTATAAAATATCTGGAATTATAACTTAACAAGCAACCATAAAATGTTTGTTCTTGAAATAAGTAGGTCTTACTCAGAAGAACAAGGAATTTAAATAAATAAATAAATCTGTGAACTTAATACTCATAACCAAGTAATTCTCTAATTTTAATCTGGGAATTTGTGGAAAGTGAAAGTCACTTCTTAGGTCACTAGGACAGCAGTTACCCTAGGCAAAGTTGGGGAGTGTGTGAAGTTGTGACTGAGCTTTAGAGCAATATGTGCAATCTGTAAGATGGAGGGCTGGGTGGCTGTGGCCTCCAGAAGGCACTCAGAATTAGAAATTGGGTAATAAAGTATCATTTGGAATTGAGGTTGGAAGGATTAGCATGTGATTGTTTACATCAGCCATCTGAAAATAGAATTAACTCACTCTAAAATCTGGTTTGTGTTGGTGATATTAAGGTGAACGGGAATCTCCCAAATCCAATCCATATTCCTGAGGGAATTATTTTAATAATAGCTGTTTACGGTATATTTGGTAGTGTGCTAAGAGCTTTACATCCATTGTCACATTTAGACTCCCAGCAGTCTTTAGGAAAGTTTTTTTTGGCCTCACTGCATGGCTTGTGGGATCCTAGTTCCCTGACCAGCCGACCAGGGATGGAACATGCACCCCGACCCCACCCCACCCCTGCCTTGGAAGCATGGAATCCTAACCACTGGACTGCCAGGGGACCCCCTAGGAAGGATATTATTAACTTTGTTTACAGATAAGAAATCAAGGTATAGAAACTGTAAGGACCTTGTGAAAGGCCATAAGGTGTAATATATGATGACTCTGGAGTCAGATTTCTTGGGTTCAAATCTCAGCTCTACTACTTGCTAACTATGTGAGCTTAGGCAAATCATTTAAACTATTTGTATTTTGCTTCTTCATCTAGGAAACAGAGACAATGGTAATAGTATCAGTATTTTAGAATTGCTAAAAGGATTAAGTGAGAAAGCTTAGGTGCCTGATAAACAGAACTCAATAAATAATGGTTATTATTATTCAACTAAAGACTCACAGGTAATAGATGCCAGAGGTGGTGAATAACATGCAGTTAAAGTTCCAAAAGTTAATCAACTATAGTTAGTAAAATTTTTCTGGGAGAATCATATGTTAACAGAAAGGTGACTTGAGATAAGTCTAGGATAACAGTAGACAAAATATAAGAATATATCTGGCAATGACCAGAATAGAAAGCTATTTGAGTTCAAGGACTACAACTAATTTTTCAAAGAGAAATATTCCTAGAGTAGAGAAGGAATTTCAATTATCCTAACTTGAAAGAAAAATCCCTCAAGACTACTCTTTCTCTTCTAATTATCATTGACCCTTGAACACAAGAATTTGGACTGCACGGGTCTACTTATACACAATTTTTTTTTCAATAAACACGCTACTGCACAACCCAGGTTGATTGAATCTGCGGATGTGGATGGGAAGACCAACTATTGAACTTGAGCATCCACCAATTTTAGTATATGCCTAGGGTTCAGGAACCAATACCCCCGAGGGCACCAGGGGACAACTGTGTATGCTCACCAAACAACCCTGTGATTAGTAATTTCCTCTCCTGAGTGCATTTAACCTACCATGGTGAAATACCCAGAGTGAATTCTCCATACAAGTTTTTCTTTCTAGATAAAGCTCTCTTTATAGATTGATACATTGACATTCTGAGGTACATATTAGTTTTTTATGGGTCCTCTTAACATATTGATCCCCAAGAGGTTAATAATGTGCCCTGGTGGAAATGATAAACTTGAGTTTCCGAATCTACAAACTTAAGAATCTGGCTTTGAATATTGTATTAGAGCTCTGTATGCTTACAAGTAACAAAAATAAAAATAAAATAGCTTAAATCACGAAAGGGGGAAGGGAATTAATATTATAAAGAGAAGGTATTTGATGGAATAGGAAGGCAAGAATACAGCACAGATTCAGGAGACTAAAAGAAGTCATCTCGCATCCAAGCAGCATGCTTTCTCCTCTCTTGTTGCTGTCTCTGCTTACACATAATTTTCTTTTTACCGGCCAGTTTCCCCTGCTACTTAGTTCCACGACAGACAGATGCAGTTACCACCGTTAGACCTGAGCAGTAGGGACTACTTAACCCTGCCCTACACCTCTGGGGGATGGGGTGTGGGGACACTTTGGAGAACCTTCCTCCAAATGTTCTAAGTCCTCTGTGGTGCCTGGGACCATCTGGCAGGGCCTGGGAGGCAGAGCCTAGTCTTGTGTGGGTCCTGGAAATGGAAGCCCTGAAATGTTCTGTTGTCTGCTGGGGACTGGCCAGGTTAGCAGGCCCTCCTGGGCAGGACACCCTAAATCTGTACCAGGATTTTATTGACCTCAGTCCCTGTTTCTCCCTTTTAGGACCCTCTCGACAATACCCCCCTCTCACTGTGCATGGGATCCACCAGGTCCCTGAGAAGCTCTGGGACTTGCACCTGTGGGGTGGCAGTTGGTTTTCATATCAGCTTTCTAGTGCTGTGTTAACAGATTACAAATTTAGCAGCTTAAAGCAACACAGTTCATTATCTGTCAGTTTCTGTTGGTCAGAAGTCTGAGTATGGCTTATTTTTGCTTAGGGTCTCACCAGATAGTAATCAAGGTATCAGATGGGGGTGCAGTTTCATCTGAGGCTAAGGGTCATCTCCCAAACTCATTCAGGTTGTTGATAAAATTTAGTTCCTAGTAGCTAGAGGACTGGGGTCCCTGTCTTCTTGCCAGATGTCAGCCAGGATTTTCGCTCAGCTCTCAGAGACTGCCCTCAGGCCCTGATCACACAGCCCTCTTGTAACATGCAGCTTACTTTACCAAAGCCCGCAGGAGAATTTCTTTACAGTCTGTTCCTGCTGTTCCTGCTACTACCATTACTATTACAACCATCACCACAAATGTAGTCTTGTATAACATAATGTAATCTTGGGAGAAATGATTCCATCACCTTTGCTCTATAGT